GCGGGCGAGCTCGGTGGGCCTGCGGAACCAGCGTGCCGGGCCTCTTACCTGCTTCGCGCAGCGGACGCCACCGCGTCGCCTCCCCGGCGGCGTCGGCGGACGAGCTCGGTGGGCCCGCGGTACCAGCGTGCCGGGCCTCTCACCTGCCTCGTGCAGCGGGCGCCACCGCGACCCCCCCTTGGCGGCGTCGGCTGGCGACTGGCGCTGGTCCGAGCGACCGCCGCTGATCAGGCGCGCATGCCCACTGCCCTCGGCGCCGCGTCGGCCGGTCCCGCCGCGCAGACCGCCCGGGCAGCGGCGGTTCCAGCTGACGCTCCGTCGGCTGCCGGTTCCAGCCCCCGACCGCTCGCCGCTGGGGGCGTCTCTTCTCCGCTAGTTCGCCATATCTTCCCATCGTCGGAAATCACAACTGAACAAATCATTGTTGTTGTTCAGTGATGCTCTTATCCCTGCATTATGACCCCTGTTCATGCTCAAGGCACACGGGATGGTCTATCACGTACCTGACCGAGGTACTTCCCGGTACGTTCCCAGGTACCACTCTTGGCCACCCAAACTTCCGCTGCGCCTTTTCACGGGCTGAACACGACAACAAGACACGAGAGGAGTAGCGGCGCACCTGTCACCAGGGCCGGGCGGCCCCGCATCTCACCCTTCACACTTCCCCGCGGCTCGCTGTGTTCCATCATTACCGGCGATGCGTCGTCTCATGAGGTGAGAGACAACACACGAGTGTGTATTGAGATATATTGAGACTGCACAGGTGTTCTGAGGAACAGGCGGTCATCAATTGCCTTCACTCTAGTGTATTTTCTTTTATAAGGATTTAAATGTCATTAAGATTTAACAAGACGATGGTGCGGGGGTTATCAGACATGTGCCGTTATATTGAAAGCCACTTACGTGCCACGCATATCGTACCATAACCAAGTTGTTTCATTCAAGCCACTTGCGCATCCATACTAATGCACTGAAGGAGGTAACAGATTGGTGTTAGCCAAGGCAGTTGCAGCCGCCTCTTAAAGGGAATGTTCCACATCGTATGTCGTTTTGAACTGAAATAGTTATTCTACAGATCATTCGTTGCAGTGCACAGCCATGCCTTTCTTAAGACTTGGAACCCTCTTGTTTCTAAGCTTGAAGCCCGTGAGCTTGTGTAGACTGTTATACAGCGTACATCATTTCTAGGTCACCCAAGCATGCATGACGTCATAGAAACATCACGCTAATACCGCCACCTGCTTGGTCATGTAGTGATCAAGGCCAAGACAAATATTGTTATCAAATCATTCGTGCCTCGCGTACGTGAGCAAGATTCGTAGCATCACCTGGACACCATCTGTCACCACCATCACGGACGTCATTTGGCCTTTAACCAATATGATACGTTGAGTGCAAGTTTCCAACACGAATCACGTTTTGTGTTACGTAAAGCATGCATTTGGGCAGTGGTACGACGGGCGACTGCACGGAGACTCTGCCAGGGGACTTCTGCCGATTCTCGTCATCTGTTCACGAGGTTTCAAATCACACCGTGTGATCGCAGATTGTCACAAGAACTCCTGCCTGGGTTTGGCACGATGATGACCATCATTATCATGTGTTCATTACGAATCGTTCAATAGCCGTGACTTAATGTTTGATGCAAGGTATTGGGCTTCATGTTGTACTGCAAAACGAAAATGTGGCAATGATAAAAACACCAATAGCGTAAAAAGAGCGCTCAAAAGCACGTTGTCCTCTGCGTCACAATGACAGAGTCTGGACATGAACACAGCAGAGCTCCGGTAAGCCACACTAGCCGGCAGAAGGCGGTTCCAAGACGAGGCCGCACACTACATCAACGCTTTGCATGCAACATAAGTCTTTCAAACAGCCTTTCCGTCTGTCTAAGCTGGAAAGTGGGCCGTCGCAAAGTGTCAGCCACCACCGACATCGTGACGCGCTGACTGGTAGCGGTGCCATGGGAGGGCAGCGACCGGAGCGCTAGCTAGCAGCGGTGCGATGGAAGGGTAGCGACCGGATCGTCAGCGGTACGATGGGAGGGCAACGACCGGAGCACTAACTAGCATCGGTGCAATGGGAGGGCGGCGATCGGAGTGCTGACTGGTAGCGGTGCGATGGGAGAGCAGCGACCGGAGCGTTGACTGGTAGCGGTGCGATGGGAGGGCGGCGACCGGAGCGCTAACTATCAGTGGTGCCATGGGAGGGCGGCGACCGGGACGCGAACTATCAGCGGTGCCATGGGAGGGCGGCGACCGGAGCGCTAACTATCAGCGGTGCTATGGGAGGGGCGGCGACCGGAGCGCTAACTAGCAGCGGTGCCATGGGAGGGCGGCGACCGGAGCGCTAACTATCAGCGGTGCTATGGGAGGGCGGCGACCGGAGCGCTAACTAGCAGCGGTGCCATGGGAGGGCGGCGACCGGAGCGCTAACTATCAGCGGTGCTATGGGAGGGCGGCGACCGGAGCGCTAACTAGCAGCGGTGCTATGGGAGGGCGGCGACCGGAGCGCTAACTATCAGCGGTGCCATGGGAGGGCGGCGACCGGAGCGCTAACTATCAGCGGTGCTATGGGAGGGCGGCGACCGGAGCGCTAACTATCAGCGGTGCTATGGGAGGGCGGCGACCGGAGCGCTAACTAGCAGCGGTGCCATGGGAGGGCGGCGACCGGAGCGCTAACTATCAGCGGTGCTATGGGAGGGCGGCGACCGGAGCGCTAACTAGCAGCGGTGCTATGGGAGGGCGGCGACCGGAGCGCTAACTAGCAGCGGTGCCATGGGAGGGCGGCGACCGGAGCGCTAACTATCAGCGGTGCTATGGGAGGGCGGCGACCGGAGCGCTAACTAGCAGCGGTGCCATGGGAGGGCGGCGACCGGAGCGCTAACTATCAGCGGTGCTATGGGAGGGCGGCGACCGGAGCGCTAACTATCAGCGGTGCTATGGGAGGGCGGCGACCGGAGCGCTAACTAGCAGCGGTGCCATGGGAGGGCGGCGACCGGAGCGCTAACTATCAGCGGTGCTATGGGAGGGCGGCGACCGGAGCGCTAACTAGCAGCGGTGCTATGGGAGGGCGGCGACCGGAGCGCTAACTAGCAGCGGTGCCATGGGAGGGCGGCGACCGGAGCGCTAACTATCAGCGGTGCTATGGGAGGGCGGCGACCGGAGCGCTAACTATCAGCGGTGCTATGGGAGGGCGGCGACCGGAGCGCTAACTAGCAGCGGTGCCATGGGAGGGCAGCGATCGGAGTGCTGACTGGTAGCGGTGCCATGGGAGGGCAGCGACCGGAGCGCTAGCTATCAGCGGTGCTATGGGAGGGCGGCGACCGGAGCGCTAACTAGCAGCGGTGCCATGGGAGGGCAGTGACGGGAGCGCGAACTATCAGCGGTGCCATGGGAGGGCGGCGACCGGAGCGCTAACTATCAGCGGTGCCATGGGAGGGCAGTGACGGGAGCGCTAACTATCAGCGGTGCTATGGGAGGGCGGCGACCGGAGCGCTAGCTATCAGCGGCGCGATGGGAGGGCAGCGACCGGAGTGCTAATTAGCAGCGGTCGATGGGAGGGCAGTGACGGGAGCGCTAACTATCAGCGGTGCCATGGGAGGGCGGCGACCGAAGCGCTAACTATCAGCGGTGCCATGGGAGGGCTGGGAGGGCGGCGACCGGAGCGCTAACTATCAGCGGCGCGACGGGAGGGCAGTGACGGGAGCGCTAACTATCAGTGGTGCCATGGGAGGGCGGCGACCGAAGCGCTAACTATCAGCGGCGCGACGGGAGGGCAGTGACGGGAGCGCTAACTATCAGCGGTGCCATGGAAGGGCGGCGACCGGAGCGCTAACTATCAGCGGTGCCATGGGAGGGCAGTGACGGGAGTGCTAACTATCAGCGGTGCCATGGGAGGGCGGCGACCGAAGCGCTAACTATCAGCGGTGCCATGGGAGGGCAGTGACGGGAGCGCTAACTATCAGCGGCGCGACGGGAGGGCAGTGACGGGAGCGCTATCAGCGGCGCGACGGGAGGGCAGTGACCGGAGTGCTAACTAGCAGCGGTGCGATGGGAGAGCAGTGATGGGAGCGCTGTCAGCAGTGCGATGGGAGGGCGGCGACGGGAGCGCCAACTAGCAGCGGTGCGGTGGGAGGGCAACGACGGGAGAGCTGTCAGCGGTGCGATGGACGGACAGCGACTGAAGCGCCACCGGGGCGTGGGGCCATTTAGGGCCTTGAAGACGCCAATGCAGTCAGCGGTCACGGTGTGTTACAAGGTCAAATCACGTCGGGCCAGGCCAACCACTCCAGGACCAATGAAATGTGGTCCCAGCTCTGCACCCACGAGATGACCCAGTCTGCAAAATTCACCTTTTGCACTCGGCTGAGATAGCAGGCAGTGGCCACGCCCCAGACTGAGAGGCAATTTGAAGTGCGAGGGAAACATCTGCTCCGATTGGGAGAATGCGGATATAAAATGGTGACGAATTTGATATCGATGTAGTACAAGTTTATATTGTGCTCTTGACTAATTTGGATGCTCTGCTTCTAGGATAAAAGATGATCCCAGTTTCCTCCTAACATCTTCGTGGACTGCAGGGGGATGATATGAAGCTGGAGTTGTTAATATTAAAATCTCACGTTGTTTGCTGGCTTTTGGTGCCCGGCCGACAGTGGCCAGCCCCTGTTTCTGACTGTCCATGTCGCGTAGGGCGGCTCCAGCGTAATTTTGGTTCCGTTTGGTGCCGGGTGGATCGAAATTGGCTGAAGAGAATCTAGTTCACAGATCTGAGAAAATTCGGCATTTAACACGTGAACCCTATGGGCTGGTAGGAAGTGACTCGGTAGACCGGCTGTGCTACAGCGAAGAAACCGTGTCCAACGTATACGTAGTACGTATGTAAACGTATATACGTATATACGTTACGTAGTACAAAATGTTGAAACTCGCATGCTTGCTCAGCACTGTTTGGGAGCCAATTGCCGTCCATTTTTATTTTTTTTTTGGAGATCACGCTCACTGACGCCAGACCTGGCGTCAACGGTAACCGTAACGGTAACGCCAGGCTCAACGGTAATTTTCTTCCTGGTCTTGAACGCCGCCTGGCCTGTGAGTTGGCAGGATTTGGATGGCGTTGCTATGGTGAGATGCTCGCCTGAATGGCCTTGAATAGTTTGCACGTCTTTGCGGGCGTGTAGCTAAGAAACTGGACGGATTAGGGTCTTAAAAGGGCAAGGCTACGAATCGCACCGATTGATCTTAAAAATTTATATTTCACCTCAAAATCCCATATAAATGTGAAACACTATGTGAAAAAGCAAAACAGCAGTTATAAGCGATTCTATTTCATCATGTTCAATGCGTGGCTCACTATCTCAAAATGAGGAACATTTTCTTTAAAAGTAGTTCGTTTAGTATTTACGGTTGTCTAAAAAGACATCCCTGCGGGTACTCCGACCAAGTAATCAGCAATGACATCAATGGAAAGCGCTCTTGAAAGGAATGCTCTAAATTCGAAGATGATGAGGTCAGCATCAAATATGATGTAGCCTGGTGTGCTTTAACGTGATAAAGACTGCTCTGGACAAAATAATCATTCGTTTAGTGTGTATGGTCTTCAACGTGCCATTGCTCGATTACGTCATTGTACCATGCACAACATTGATTGAGATCCAATTGGCAGCCAGATTTATGTGGAAATTGTGCTCACGAACGCCAGATGTGAACGACGCGTCCACTTCATATTTATTTGCCTTAATCGCTGCCTGGCTAACGGATTGATAGTATTTTAACGACGTTATGACGGCGCCGTGTATGCCTACGTGATGTTAAAATAGTATCCCATATAGCATTCCAAGTCTGCACATCTTTGCGGGCATGCAACTCAGAAACTAGAGAGTTGCAGGTCTTAAGAAGAACAGGGCTGTGAACTGCACCAAATGATCATCAATATGTTTGTTTCAGTTCAATACCCTATACAAATGCGCAACGCTCCCTTGAAAGGAAGTGCTCTGCAAAACCGGTCGAACAGACGCAGTTTTTTAATCGGACGTCTTCCGGGCGTTTTCACACAGTGTTTTCATATCGAGCCGCAGCTGCCTGGAACCGCGTGCCATCGTCCGTCCGTCACGTCACAACACTGAGCATGTTTAAGACCGCCATATGTACGCGATGTGATTTTGACCACTGACGACCGATCTGATGTGGCCCGTAGTGCAATGAGGGCCCTGTTTAGCTCTTTGACCATTGCTCCTACATTTCATTATATAGTTTTCGTGTGTGCCTTTTCATACTACACCTGTGTGACCTGAAACCGTAATAGCCGCCATGTGGATGGTTTCCAATTTACTAATACCGATACTGATACGGGCGGCCAAGAATAGTAGGAAGCGAAAGTGAAGGACCCACGAGCAGACAAAAATAATCCTTCGCTGATTGTGATGGTAGTGACTGAGGGATTTCAAGGCTTACTACTAGCGTACTGACATCCTGGTATTCTGCTGGCATACTGGGGCACTTTCATCGACCGGAGGCCTCCACGGATTCTTTCCATCCCACCTAAAGGCTTTATGTGCTATAGTCGAAGCCCAGGTGTTAAACTGCCGGGGTTTTCTGCGTTGATCAAGAGCCATTCACGTTGGTTTGGGCTTACCTGCCGACATACAGGGCGTTATGTACAGGGGCCCTCTGCATTACTCTAGGATTCTTCCAATACCCTGGCACATGTGGAGGGCTCTACGCTGTTGTCGGGAGGGGGGGGGGGGGGGGTATAAGTTGACGTGCTTGGGCACACGCAGCCGTTCGGGGCTCTCCACGTTTGGTATTAGGCACTTCCTATTTCAATGGGAGGCCCTATGGTGCTGTCTTGGGCTCCATCTTTTGACCTCACCTCGAGCACACTCGACCGTTCGGGGCCCTTCACACTGGGCCTTGGGTACTTCTGAGCTTTTTAGAAGGCCCTACGCTCCAGTCGGGGGCCCGCCTGTTAAACTGCTAAGCTGACCATGTTAAGCTGCTCGGGCACATGCGATGGTTGGGGGCCATCACACTCAGTCTTGGGTGCCTCCTATTGGCTTTTGACGGTAATACACTTTTCACGGTACCCCATCTGTCAAGCCGCCCGGGCACACTCCATCGTTTGGAGGCCCGCCACATTGGACCTTGGGTACTTTCTATTTGAATGGAGGGCTCTACACTCTTGTCGGGCCCTATCTGTCAACCTGCTCGGGCACACTCGATTGTTCGGGGGCCTGCACCTTGGGTCTTAAGCACTCTTATTTAAATGAAGGATCGCACCATGGTAGGGTCCTAATATTTGCTAGCATTCCCGGGCATAATTAATCAGCCAAGGGCCCTCCATGAATTCTTCACATTCGCCCGAAAGTCTCTGTAGTTGTTGCCGGGGCCCCATATGACGAGGTGCATTCCGTCAATCAGAGGCCCTTCACGTTGGTGTCGAGTTTCTCAACTCGCGTGGAGTGCCCTGTGCTGTTGCTGAGGCCCATATAAGGTAATGCATCGAGGTACTCGATGCTCAGAGGCTCTCCACACTTATCAGGGTTATTTTCTTTTGAGTCCATTTTCAGAGGGCCATTTACGCTTGTCGTGGCCTTTTCCGTTAATCTGCCCGGGCACTCTTGACCGCACAGGGGCATTGACTCGTTTACACTGGTCTGGGATAACGTTCCATTGCTCAAAGGATCCTGTGCTCTGGCCGGGCCCGCTATGCTAGCCTGCCGCCGCACTCCTGATCCTTCAGGGGTCCCATCACTTTGGTCTTAGGTTCTTCTCGCTTGCCCTGAGGGCCCCACACTGTTGACGGGGGGCCCGTTGTTGGCCTGTTGCGGCAGCCTCGAGCGCTCAGGCGTCGCATCTCTTGGTTTCGGGTCTTCCCGTGCTTAAGGCGTGTATATACCATGGACGGGACCTACATCTTAATAATAATGATTGGGCCTAACGTCTCACCCACTGCCAAGGACATTTCGAGATGGATGTCCTTATTAAAGGGAATGTTCTTCTACATTTGTCCGGCGTTTTTAACTGAAGTGGCCGTCTAGAGAAGCTTTTGATGCAGTTCACGGTCATGTTCTTTTTTAAGACACAAAACGATCCGGTTCCTGAGTTACACACCCGCAAAAGTGCAAACAAGTTTATTTGGAGCCTATCTGAATGTCGCCTCGACATCAATGACGTCGTAGAAACGTCATGCGATCGCAGTCATACTACGTGCTGCTTTCCGCGTCTGGTCAAAACAGCATGGCCGCTGGTGCATTCACAAAAGCGATGTTGCGGCAGGTATGATGCAATAAGCGGAAGATGATTGGCTGTTAAGATTTCGTTACTTAATGCGGGTCGCGAACGTAAGCGTGTGCACTTCAGGGTTGTGCGGCACTCGTCGTGAACGGGGCATTTTTCCTTATTTTAGGCCACAAGTAAATGCTATAAATCGTCACTATCTGCAAAAAAGCACGACACCCAGAAAACGGGCACTTCCCCGAAAGTTATAAAAAGGAGACGCAAGGGCAAATCTGTCTTTTCCTCGGCTGGAGTTTTTTTCTTCTTCTTCTTGAAGAAACTTCTTGAACCGCGCTACCATGAACCCCCGTCGACACTTTGTTTTGAAGGGATGTCACGGTCAGAGAACATTGTTTTGGTATTCTTTAAGCTTACTGACTCCCATAAAACGTGATACATTGATACCTGCCTCTACCTTTATGTTTGTGTTTCAACATGACAAAGGAACACTGCCAAACTAAGAGAAGCACTAGCACTAATAATGCAGGTATGTACGAAGGCAAGCTGGTACTTCATTGTTATCTTGCCAACATTTTAAACCTATTGAGGTATTGCAATATATAATTAATTCATTGTGTGCCATTATATCAGCAATTCATTTTGGGAGTAGGGGATGATGCGTGCAGCTCATCAATGCACATGCTTAGTATAGGCTCACATTATACGGCTTTGCAAAATTGTTTTTCTCTAAAGAATTCTGAATATATAGAGCTGCGTTATTACTGATGCACACTGCGCTGTCTTCACAGATTTTGTATGCAGGCGAGCAAAGCTCGTGAGTGATCAATGTCAGAGTCACTGCAACTTGCGTGAGATGCCGGGTGCTGAGAAAGGCAGAAAAGCATTGCTGTTGGTGTCTTGGATAGCACTTGATAATATTTTTATCGTGAGCCTTACGTGCACTGGCAGCTTCACTTCCTTGCACTTTGCCCATCCAACCATAACTACAGGCACTTGCCATGTTTCCAGTCTTGTGCATGGTCAGCATGTTTGCAGTGTCATTTCACCACATGTAAAATTTTCCTGTTATTTTTTGCAGCATGTTGCATGACTGTGGAGGCAGAAGGTGTGTTTGCATCTTTCTGACCTACGTTTTGTGTATTTCCAAAACGGGCTGAATAAGTGATGTCAGTTATTGGAGTTACTGAAAGCAATTTGTATATCGTATTATGTTTGTATATTATCATGTTTTTGGTCAGTCATGTCAGATGGGGAGTCAATACAAGAGAGGACACTTGCCCCATCTTTTCATGATGTAATTTATCATGAAATCAGCATGGATTGCAGTACAAAAACCATATTATTGTTCATCATGTCATACCATAGTACAGCACTGAGGTAGTGCCACAGCTGTTGACCCGCGCCATTACACAATGTACCACGTTGGTTAACTACTCTGTCGAGCCTAAGAGACAGCAGCTCATAATTATGAATGACTGATAACAATAGATTTAGCAATACCAAAGGACTATCAACAGCAAAAATGGCATTGCACAACAATGGTAATATCAGGGTTAACTATTTATTGCATAAATAATCCTAAGCAAAAAAGCATGCTTGGTAGCCCAGCCTTACAATCTTTACCATATCAATAGCAACACTTTGGCAATCAATTCATAGCAACGCTACAAATTTATTAACTTTCGAATGGCACTCTATTTCCGGGTACAAGCAATGAGGTAAGTAACTAGTGTGCACATCACATGATATCAATGTCAGGAATATAGCACTGCAGG